CCTGACAGAGCCCCCGGTTGAAGATCATCTCTCTCCGGAGCACATACGGGAGCCAATTGGTCAAGACCACAACGAGTCTCCGCCACCTGGGCAACCTGCAGAATCGAACAAGGATCCCCCTCCCGTGAACGGATCCCCCATGCAACCTGCGGAATCAGACAATGTCATAGCGCTACAGCGAGGGTGCTGTGCGTACTATGCCATTAATGTATGTCTCCTTACTTACAATTGTAATCCTTACACTGTTGCTGATTTCGCAGACGTTGTTCGCTGGATAGAAGAAGAGCACCATGCCGTCTGCCCAGACGACGACATCGCTGCGCCTGGGGTGAACATAGAAGTCCTGGCTATGGCATTTATGGGTAGGCGACTACAATTCCAGCCTGCTCCACAAAACCACGAGCCAGGAACAGATCCGAATATTCGGGCATATATCTTATATCGTCCAGGTCATTTCAGTGCTCTTACCTTTGCAGATGATTCATGGACCCTATGGGACAATGGCGGTAGGGTGCACACAGTGGGAAATATTAACTCTTTCTATCACCAAATGCTGGAGGGTCACTCAGTCTGGCTCATCCATCAGGAACAGTATGTCGATGAGCATTTGCAAGCACTGCACCCCCCGGAGAGCAATGCTGCTGATTCTACCACAAGCAGTGAAAGGACCTCTCCACAGGATGATGGCTGTGCCCTGCCGTTGTGTCATCGCACTGGTACAGTTCGGTTGGCATGTACACGACATAGCCTCTGCTCCGAACACTATGAGGGGATGGTCGCTGCTAGCCTCTCACACAAAAATTGTGATCCCCAGTCCTGTCCTCATCCCCCACCCCCCCTGATTACTTGCCCAGCATGCCGTTGTGGCCTTGATCTGCCATGCTTTTATAACTGTGCACGTCAGCCTTCCATACTAATGACATGTCAGGAACATGCCATGTGTCGTCAATGCTTCCAGGAAGCTGTCATCGAAAGTATGTGTCTTTACTGCGTGGACTATCCACGGTGCCATCACCCTCCACATCCTCTCCTAGCATGTCCCACATGCGGTATTGGTCATACACCTACGGCAACCGCTGACGGATCTCCCTCTTTCATGCCAGACGAATGACGAACACAGCAGTCCGAGGAGGAAAATAGACTTCTATATATGAACCACCGGCAGAGCGATGTGCTCATAGTTTATCACCACCAGGGCGAGCTGTTGCGGATCATATCCTGCAGCAGCTGAATGCCCTTGCGTTGGACCGATCCTCAATGTTGCCGTCTGTCCATATAGAAGGAATACATACTGAGGAAGCCCAAGAAAGATGCTCCATGCCGTTTTGTGATGACCCGCCGGAGATTCAACTAGCATGTGGTTCACATGCCTTGTGCCGTGAGGACTATGAAGGTATAGTCCATGCGAGTTTTTGCTTCCATACATACGATGACAGTCAGTACTGTACTCATGTATGGCACCCCGACATGTCATGTCCAATTTGTAGACAGGGGCTGGAACGGCAATGCCTCTATAATTGCGGTCGACGTGCCTCTGTGTTCCTAGCATGTAGCAGCCACGTAGCCTGTGACATCTGTCTGCGCTGTGCCATTCGATGCAGCAACTGTGACTGTGAAAATTGGATGCGGTGCTTCCATAGCCCACACCCGAACCGGTCCTGTCCGGTCTGTAGGGGTGGCCACTCGCCATAGTTGTTTTTTTTTTGTTTTTTTTTTTAAGTCTGCTTCAGCAGTGAATGTTTAGAAATCTGTGAAACCCGTCATACACCTTTCCCCTGCTCTTTGCATGTCATACTCTATCCTGCCCTCCCGTTGCCCCTACCTCCCCTGCCCCATACTCCTAGAGAACTCCGCCTTCTACCCCTTACCCTCCACCCTCCCCTCCACTCCCCTTGTACTACTAACAAATACATACGAATGAGCTTACCCTCCACCCTCCCCTCCACTCCCCTTGTACTACTAACAAATACATAAGAATGAGCATCATTAAGAGTATAGACGATATGAAAATCAGAAATGAAATTAACGGAAGTATGAAGATGAAGGACGGACACAAAGACTGTATAAGCTGAAGACCTGAAGTGAAATGAACAGGAATATGAAGCTCTGAAGAGATGCACAGGAGCATACCTTCCCTTTTACTCTGCCTCCTGAAATAACGTGCAAGTGGGCCGTGAAGGCACACAGGGATGTGGGCACAATCAACGTGGGCAGCCTTGTGCGTAAGAGGCACAGTAAAAGGGGAGCTGCAAGAACAATGAAAGGGGTACTCCAAGGACAACCAAAAAACTGTCTAATTATAAAATTGCTTTAATATGTTGGACATCTCAAATGCTCTCGTTGTCTGCAATAGGACAAAGACTGCTTTGATTCTGAATCTATTCACCTGGGTGGAATTGGGGCTGTTGTGGGGAAAATCTAAAACGCACACTCACACACACACACACAACACAATTTTTGAGAGAGAGAGAGAGAGAGAGAGAGAGAGAGAGAGAGAGAGAGAGAGAGAGAGAGAGAGAGAGAGAGAGAGAGAGAGAGAGAGAGAGATCTTGGGGGAGGGGAGAAGGAAATGAGGTTCCGTTTTTTTTTTTCTGTATTGGAACGCTGTGACCTTTGGGCTTGCTGTGAAAACGTTATTATCTCTTTCCTGTCGTCTGCGTCACACTCACTTTTTTATTATTATCTCTAACCGTTTTGTTTTATGGATGGCTTTTGTGTGAGGAACAAGCCCTCAAGGGGCCCTATCAGAAATCACATGATCTGGGCTAAGTCCCCCAGCAAACCGAGTGCCCGCCCTAAGTGAAGGCGGGCCTGAATATTCGTCAGAGGCAAAATTCGACATTCCACATGTGGGTATTCAGGCTCTCGCAGCACGCTAGTTGGTTGGGTGGACGTGTGAGCCTCACAAAGCTGCGTCATACAGTTGGCCCAGTCTTTGACAGTTGCGCCTTGGCACATACACACAAAGCAGGGCCGATATATTGGGAAGCAGGCCATCAGCCTTTGCAAAAGCAGTACTGCTCACGCACCTGCCTGGGAGCGCTGCACAGATGCAGCAAACAGCCCAAGTCCAGAGACTCAGGCCGTGCCCAGCTGTAAAGGGCCCAGGCCCTCAACTGTAGTCTCGGGCCTGGGCGCAGGGTCTGAGGCCCAACCTGAAGCTACTGGAAGCTTCCAGCCAGGCCACATGCAGCATCCAGGAGGCTGCCACTTCCATAAAAGAAGTGAGGCAGCCCAGGCCAGGCATTCTGGCCAGTGCAGGCAATGCGAAAGTGCTGCTGCGCGATTGCTTGATGCTGCACTGCTGCCAGGGGCGCTGCCGGGGCGAGTAGTCGTGAAGTGGGGCGCTGCAGGGCAGGGTGCAGACGGCCATAGCCGGGCTGCTGGGTGCCAGGGGGTACAGCGGGCGATCTGGTGGTCTTCAGGGAAGGAGGCGCAATGTGGGGTAATCAAGGTCTGATCGAGGGTGACGAGATACGTACCGGGTGCATGAAGAGAGGTCGGCTATGGAGTTGACAGTCGTGTACGTTGGTCTTCGAGAGTCGAAGTGAGCCTGTTGCGTGAACCAGCTGTAGGTAGGATAGTCGGGCAGAGTAG